GGATGTCTGTGTCTGTGTCCAAATTTCCCCATTGTACCAGGGCACTGGTCATCGGATTGGGACCCATGCTAGTGACCTCATTTTAACGTGATTATCTCTCTAAAGACTCTATTTCCAAATAAGGTCACATTCTGCTGTACTGGGGGTTAAGATTTCAGTATATCTTAGGGGGAGACGAAATTCAACACATAACAGATTCCATTAAGAGCACATTTTATTTTAATACCAAGTTAGATTTATATACTCCTTTAAAAGGAACACTTTAAACTTTCTATGTTTTTCTAAAATAATCCATGCTAATTATGACTTTGAGTGATGTCTCCATAGTCATAAAATATCACTTTAGTGGTGGCTTTCATCTTTAATTGTCTTTCCACCATCAGTGCAGAAAGATAACATGGAAACACTTTCTAAGCTGAATTTTACTGCCATCTGTTTCCTTGTACACACTCTGGTAGGATTATTAATGAACTAAGACAGGAAGATAAAGAATCAAAGATGAAAAGGTAAATATAATATTTGACCCCCAAAACAATTTTAGTTGTTTTTCTAAAGCCACATTAGGTATGTGAGATGGTAGATATGTTAATTAGCTCGATTTAATCATTTCATGATGTATACATATATCAAAACATCACATTGTACACCATAAATTATATATATATATATACATATATACAAGTTTTATTTGTCAATTTTATATTAATAAAGCTGGGAAAAATAAACTTTTAATTTGTTAACCCTATAGTTCCATAAAGTTAATAATAAATTAGTTATTTCCAAATATATAACTAAAAGATTACAAACAAAAATCACCATTTCAAAATTAATAGCATTTATTAATTTATTTATAGGATATGTTAGTTTATTGATACTATGGATATATATCTTATAAAATTTATGTGGATTAATAAACATTTTGCTGATATTTTTCAAACTTCCTTCTTTAGATTTTATTTATTCATCCATTCATTCGACAAATAATTTTAAATGCCTTTTCATAAATTAGGCAATATTCTAGGTATTGAGAATGTGGCAGTGAACAAAACAGGAAAAATAATCCCTGCAGTAAGGACTTAGGTCTTAATGGAGGTCATGGGCAACAAGGACGATCCAGAGGCTGTTGTTAGACTCAAGTGAGAGCAGAAGGAAGGAGACGAGCTGGAGGTTATTGAAGTCAGCCCGGCGAGGGACTCGAGGGACTCGTGAGTTGGGCCAGGATAGCAGCAGTGGAGGTGCTGAGAGGTGGTTGGATTCTGGATGCATTTTGAAAATGAAGCCAACAAGATTTGTTGATGGATCAGATATTGAGTATGAGCAAAAGAGAGGTGTCAACCCTAACTTTGCACTGAATAAAATAAATCACTTGGGGGTTTATACTCGATAGTAAAAAGGACTTTATTACATCTGAAAATGTTTAAAAGAAGAGTTTTCCAAGCAGATTTAAAGCTGGGCAGGAGGGCACTTATTGCCTTTGGGATATTTATTCAGAATTAAACTAAATAATCAAGGAAGTGGAAATAATTATGCTGTCTATCATAGGAAACAAAAAAGAATGGGGAATATTTTCCCACATTTGCCAATTAGAGGTGGAAAATAATCACAGTAGTGCCGTTGTAAAGGGAGTAAAAGAGGAACAGATTACACATGCCATTTTTAAATTACTTCACCTTGTTTCTGGAGATACTGGTAACATTTAATTAGATTTTCTGAATAAAATGACAAAACTTTCAGGCAGTGAATTAATTTTATTTGACCATTGTTAGTGGTTATAGTCATGACTTTATTGATCTGGTCCAAGGCTGCTTTGACATTTTGATACATTTTAGTGTGGTGGCTCTTTGCCAACCTTTAGGGAGGTAACTTGCTCCACATCTGCTGGTTAACCTCTCTTCCCTTCCCACTCTTCTCTCTGTTCCTGTTGTTTAGCTTGTTGCTCACACCCAGCAGATAACCATCAGAGCAGACAATAACCCTGGACTAGTCCTGGGATGGGAATTTGTCCCCTTATACTATCTCTCAGCCTGTGAAATAGTTCCTAGAAGTAGTGGTTTGTCCGGTTCTAAAAGTTTGGGCCTTCTGTGCACAGAGGTTTCAAGGATGCACAGAATAGAGAAGCAGCCCTCACCTTGAGACCTCCCTACAGCCTGAGCACAGGGCAGTTTTGTGGCTGTCTCAGATCATGACTTTGATTCCTGTTCCCGATTGTGCTCAACAGGGTGTGTGTTTCAACTGAAGTAAATAGTTACTTGTAGCATGGGCTTTTCCTTCAGGCATTTTCTAGTTCAGTTTTATTGGTGCCACTAAGTATCCACCAATTGCAAATATTAAACCACAGGATACGTGGTTACTATTTTAAAGTAAAATGCTGTAGCTTTTTATGGTCATAAGATGTTTTGAGAGCTCCTTCCCCAAGAGAGAAAAGTATTTAGTAGAAGACTAAAAGTGATAATGGCAAATGAGGACCCGGATGCTTCTGACATGACATAGGTGATTTTACTCTTTTCTTTGCTAAAGACTAAATCCATAATGCTGAAAATCTACTTTACAGCTGCATGATATTGGTCACTAGAAACTAAGATTCTAGATGTGTAGGTATCTGCTAATGAAGTAATGATATGCTAGTAATGTTTAAAAGTAGGTTTCTGTTCTTCCCCAAAGCAGCCACTATGGAAAGCAGTACTGCAGTTCTTAAAATAAAAATAAAAATAACATATTTCAACTTTTGAGTACATATCCAAAAGAATTGAAAGAAAAGTCTTGAAGAGATAGTGGTACGCCCATGTTCATAGTGGCGTTAATCACAATAGCTAGAAGCTGGAAGCAGCCCAGGTAGCTATTGACAAGCAAATGGATACACCATATAAAGTATATCCATACAGTGGAATGTTATTCAGCCTCAAAAAGAAGGGAATTCTGGCATCTACTATAACATGAATGGATCTTGATAACATTATGCTACATGAAATTCAGTCAGTGAGACAGCCAGCAATTTATATTGTGTGCTTGCCACAAGTTCGACAATGTTTAGGAGTCACAAATGTTTAGGAGAAGACACTTGACTGGAAAGAAGGATTCAAGAGTCATATCCATGCAGACAAGATTTCATAAAGAATAAAGGACTCAGGATTGAGTTTGGTGGATGGCCATAATTAGGAAGAAGAGAGGGAGGAGAGAGAGAGAGAGAGAGAGAGAGACAGGACTGGTGCCTGTGAACAAGGTAGTCTGATTACAGAGGTTTGGGGAGAAACAGATCAGGGAGCGGATGGTATCAGCAGTGGCCCATGCAGAGAGACCAGGGGGCTACTGAAGTGTTCAGCAGTCATTGCCGATCTGAAGGCCGGTTCCAGGAGCATCACGCAGGGAACAACCAGAGGGAAAAAGGGAACAGGTGCAGCATCAGTAGAGATATAAGAGGGAACAAAACGAGAGATATGAGGTCAAGAGAAAAGGTTCTTTGAAGTGGCAGAGACCTGTGTATCTTTAAAAGCAGAACAGATAAGTGCATGCATTTTATTATTCTTATGGTATAACATTTTTTAGAAGCTTTATTATTTCATGAGAATTACTTGCTTTAAGTTTTTTTACATATGCAGGTTAACACAATATATGAAAAACTTAACTCATGTTTGCTTGTTGAACTTATCACACATTTATGAACTTTTTTTCTCATTGTTTTACTTATTTGAATTATTGGCATATGAATAGACACTTTGAATGATAAATAGACCATATTTTAATGACTATATATGGCTAATACAATAATTCTGATTATCACACCAAATAGTTTTCATTTTAATGGCTCCTTTTATTCTGAATAATTTTATTTATATGCTTAGAACATAAAGTCACTGTTACATTTTTGTCATATAAGTAAGAGTAATTGTCAATGGTGGAATTTTAAGGAAAATGATTGAAAACGAAAACTCTTATCTTTGAACATGTATTTAACAGCATGAGAACAAAATATGTTCAGCTGTGCATTCTGTAAAGAGAGAAAAATACATTTAAAATTAGAATTACACCATTCAGAGACTGTAATTTATGCATTCATAAGAGAAATATAAATGCTTCATATCAGTGGGTAGAGAAAAAAGTCACATTTCATCCAGACATTTGGTGATTAAATGTCTCTACATAGAACACATTTTTTTTTATGGAAAGTTGAAAGTCAGGAATTGAACATCAGGCCTTTAACAAGATTCAGTGGGAATCAGAAAACTATAGAGCTTGAACTCGGTGGATAAATGGAAGAAATTCTGACTCTAAATCAGTGAGCATCTCCCTTCTATTGACAACCAGAATTGGCATCATTGCTTCTTTACTTTCTTCTGAGCCAAAGCAGACCCTAATTCAAGGTTTGATGAACTTCAGTATATTGAGTATTTTTAAAAACTTCATAAAAAATAACCTCCCTGAATTAAATATGAACTTTGGCTTATTTCCCCAGCAGTGGTGATGGATTTTCCCTGCTTAGTCTGCACTCTTATGCTTATAATCTTTTGGGTTCAGTGCCACTAAGAGAAGGCTTGCTAGATCCCCCAGGCTGTGAAACAGAACATACCAGCTAACTAACCCACAGGGAGATTAAATCTGCCACCTGGGCTATGCCTACAGTGCTCCTTCAACAGGACACTGAGCTAGTGAGGTTGCCTTGGTGAGAATCTCCTATAGAAGGGCTACACCTTCGTAAGCCATAGCAATGTGGCTAGCTCAGAGTGGAGTTGTCAAAACTCTCTTTCTAGAAAGAAGCTAGCATATATGTTAAAGCCAAAGCATTAAATCTTCTGACATCCTTGAATGTTGAGTATTTTTCGACTGTATTGTTTTACTTCTTGTAGTTATCAAAGGGTAATAGATAATCATATCCAAAATAGAGTCAAGGTATACAGAAATTTATTTTGTCTACAAATTTCACTACAGTGAGTAGCAAAGGTGAGGTTGGGGGAGAGAGAGAGACTTTAATTTTTTTGCATTTATTTCTCTTTTTTATTTTACAGCGGAAACCCCCAATGGTGGTGGAAGACCTTTTCGAAGACATGAAAGATGGTGTTAAGCTGCTTGCTCTCCTGGAGGTCCTATCTGGGCAGAAACTGGTAAGAATTTTTTTGTGAATATGTTTGTCAAAGTGTTCCTATTTGGAACTTGGGGATTGTTGGAGTCTCCCTTATATACATGCTGCCCATATAAGAGAAAGTTATTCTCTTTTGTAGTTGGTAGTATTAAGGAAACACTAGTCTACCAGTCACTTCTGGGAACAGGAATAAATTTCCTCCTTTCTTGTTGCTGCACACCCTGATGGATTTAAAACATTATGTTTACAGTAGCAATCTTAGAAGTAAGAGTAAAGAACTTCAGCAGTAGCTAGCATGGTTAACTATTACATCTGTATCGTATCCAGGAAGATTAGTAGCAAGTTAACATATATCTCATTTTGAGTGTTTGCTTTCCATTCAGAAAGGATTATTGGTCCGTATCTGTGTGTTTATATAGTTGTTTGTTGAAAGTTAAGCTTGAAACCATGTGACATTTTTCATTCTCTTGTTGACATCATCCATCATTAGTCATTTGTAACAAGAACAGGCTATTCAGAGTTGATTTTATGCGCTATGGAACCAGCAGAGTGAAAAACAGTATTGACAGCTGTAAAGTTATTTTCCTACATTATCCAATAATAAAATATTTTTTCTTTAAAAAACATTTGCATTTTAGCAATATCTATACAATCATTATACTTGGATAACTGAGTTTTTAAAGAGTGCTTATAAATTTCATAAATTTCAAGTTAATTTTGTATGGGGAGTCCTCGAAATAACTTTTATAGAAGAGTTGTTTGTTGGAAAATACAAATTGATAATAATTTTGTATCAATCAGTTATCTAATTGGATTCACATTGTAGCAGACACTTTTGGTGCCCCACGTCCCATCTCAGCTTCATTGGTGGTGACGTTGCCCATCTGTGCTGACAGCCTCTCACCTCAAGCACTGGTAGCATCTCTCTGGATGTCTTCTTCAGGACTCTTATCAAAGCCACGGGTTGCACATGGCAGCCCTGAAGTATTGGAGAGTTAATGGTCCCAAAGTATCCTCAACCAATGGAGACGAGAATCCATGAATAAATGTTCCACTCTTGAATTTTTAGGAGAGGCCATTCTGAGGCATATTTTCCATATATCTTCTAGAGTTCCCACAGGGTCCCCTGTGGGATGGAGCTCCAGTTGCTCACAGTGGCAGCCCCATTAGCATACACTTTGTTGGCTTTTCCTTCTCCTCAGGCCCACTCTCCACACATTCTCACTCCTGCTGCCTAAGATCACCTCTCCAATAAACTACATGCACCCAAATCCTTGTCTTAAACTCTGCTTTGAAAGACATCAACCTGGATGTATGAGCAGCCAATTTGGAATATATAGGCATACACTTTAGCTAAGTAAACTGGATAAGCATTAGGATGTGGGATGCATTAGATTGAAATATATAGACCCTTGGATGGACTGATATATCTGTCCATCTTTATATATCCTCCTTAATTAAGCTAATTACTTGTAAGTTGAAAGAGTCTTCATACTCACGTGGGCATTTAAGAAGTATATGTGTCATTCTAAGTGTCAATATAATTCTGTCATTGTACTTGGCCAACAGTATACAGAAATTTTGAGAGGCATTTAGCTGCCAAACTAAGTTATTCTAGAAAAAGTGTGTATTTTTGACATGGAAATCCTACTTCTGTTTAAGTGCCCAACATATTCAGATATATTTAGAATTATGGGATCTTAAAGCTAAAAGAAATTTCAGAAAAAAATCATAGCATTCTCATTTAACAGATAGAGAAAGTGAAACATAGAAGATAATTTTCCAATTTAACCATATTATTTATTTATATTGAATTCTGCAATATTCTGAACTTCCTAAAGTAAAAGTATTCTGAAATTATAAATATGCTGTTGCAATGGTTATTTAAATTTTGTACGTGTATGCATTATGGTTCAGGGCCACATTAAGATGAAAAGCCTCATTTAAAAGAATAAGCATTCTAGACATTCTTTTATCTTTTCAAAGGGACAGTGTGGGCAAGAGCATTTTCCTTAGGAGCATTAACATTGATCAGGAATCTGTCATTATGTGATGGATAGAACCCTACTGAGAACCTTACACATGATCATCTGGAAAATGTGGACAAATGGCTTAGCATCCCCTCTACTGCCAGCATCTCAGAATTAGAACAGAATCTCAGTATCCTAGTACCCTTTGCTAACCTATTGCAACTCCTTTATCTATGATTTTATTTGAGATCTTGGGGAATTATAAAAGTTTTATATTATTATTCTTAGATTTTTCTACATCCCTTGAATATTATTTGTAGAACATTTATTCCTTAAATGAATAAGTGATCATATATCTTAAACTGCACATAAGCATAGCAACACTAATTTAGTTTTGCACTTAGGAATTTTTTTAAGAATGTGAGAAACTGCCATTGAAAAATTAGCAACAATAGAAGCAATATGAATAGAGGTTAAGGACTACAGAGAAACTTATTTAGTACCTATTTTGTTAATATTCTGTACAGTATTTTTTTTACAAAGATCTTCAAAACTTTGCAATCAAGAGAAACCTAATAATACAATAAGAAATAAACAATGAATAATCTATGGAAATATTGAGCATCAAAGCCCCATGCATATTAACCACATGACTATGTAAGTCATTGAGCATAGATTCAGAGTAGAACTCAATTCTGCAACAGGGTTGCATTGTCTGATAATCATTCGGCTAACATTTCTGTAGTGGCACTACTTTATGCCCTGTAAGGAAAACACAGATGAATGAGATATGATTGGTTCCCTCAAAAATACTTGTAGCCTAGTAGAAAGAATAATTGTATTAGTTAGAATAGGTTAAGTTGTTTAAAAATAGGTACAAATATGTGATTGGACAGTACGATAGATGCTTATATCTTCCTCACTTAGCCATGATACATATGAAGAAGAAAAGCAGAGAGAAGGTATTTGCCCTACTAAATACCAGATCTTACAATGAAGCTATATCATTTTAGACCAATATGGTATTATATGTATGGTACAGGCATATTGACAAATGCAATATAGTCCAAAGACAGACAAGACATACATGGAACTTTTGTATACGTTAGAGGTAGATGTCAGATCTGGGGGAAAACTGGGACTGTTCAATAAGTGGAACAGGAAAATAATGTTTATTTTAATAGAAAAAGATAAAATTGGATCCTTATGGCCTACACAAAAATCAAATCTACATGGACTAAGAACCTAATGGCAAAAACACTTTAAGCTCTTAGTAGAAAACATAAGTGAATATATTTCAGATATAGGGTAGGAAAAATTATTCAATAAGAAACAAAAATATTGATAATAAAAGATTGGTATATTTAACTATATTAAAATTAAGAACATTTTTAAAATAAAAAATCTTTGGCCGGGCGTGGTGGCTCACACTTGTAATCCTAGCACTCTGGGAGGCTGAAGTGGAAGGATCCCTTGAGATCAGGAGTTCAAGCAAGAACAAGACCTTGTCTCTACTAAAAATAGAAGAAATTAGCCGAGTGTGGTTGTGCACACCTGTAGTCCCAACTACTTGGGAGGCTGAGGCAGGAGGATCACTTGAGCCCAGGAGTTTGAGGTTGCTGTGAGCTAGGCTGACACTACAGCACTCTAGCCCAGGCAACAGAGCCAGAATCTATCTCAAAATAAATAAATATAAAACATCTGTAAAGAAAGTGTCAAAAGAAGTTACAAAGTTGTAGAAGTTATTCTCAATTTATGTTGTGAAAGGATTAAGAGAGGATTAAGTCAAGAATATATAAATAACATCTTCCAAACAATAAGAGTACAAACAACCCAAAGGAAAACCTGGGCAAGAAATGTGAAAAGGCGTTTTACACACATTGCCAGTGAACACAGGAAGAGATGCCCACATCATTGCTGATCAGGGAAATGCAAATGAAGGCCATAGTGAAAAACAGTACATATATTTTAATACATTTAATTGAAAAAATATTTTTAAAATATATGTCAAAATCAAGTGTTGGAGAGGACATGGATAAAGATTATTTTTTGTAATGCTGGTAAGAGTGAAAAGTAGTATAACCATTTTGGAAAAGTTTGGCCTTACTTTACAGGCTCATAAGTCACATTCCTTCTGACTTGGAAATTATACTCTTTCGTGTACATCCGAGAGAAGCTTTGCTAGTACAAAAGGTGAGAAGTCCAAGAATGATCTATGAGCATATCACAATAGCAACAACCTGAAATCAACCCAGATTCACATCAGAAGGGAGTATTTAAAAGGCATATTATATAGCTATATTACTATAAAGTAATATATGCTATATTGTATAACATCAAAGATAGCATATTCTATAATATATATTATATAACACACTCTATTATATAAAATGAATGAAATGCGATGAAAGGCAACGATAGATGAATCTTAGAGATACAGTACGTGGAAAATAACTCTCAAAGGATTAATGCGGAGATGTTCTTTATATAAAGCTAAAAGCTAAAATACTTTTTAAGAATGCATAGTATGACGGTTGCCTGGGTGCAGGAAGGCAGGATGATGAAACGAATGGGGTGGTGACATTGCAGAATGTGGCTCTCATACTTAACTGTGGGTCCTGGCTTTGTTTTAGGTGGCAAGTTCACAGGTGCTTTATACATTATAAAAGATAATTAACTAAATAAACTAATTAAGTGAGCTGTGCATGGACTAATAATGAGACTATGGTCCTGTATAACAGAATTCTCAGTAAAGAATAAATAAATATTTAAAAATATATCATCTATTTAAATAGTTGTTTCAAATCATGTCATAAAAATTACCACCTGGCACAATATTAATTGGAAGTGAAAAGATACTTGGTTTTGAATTTCAATGGGAGATTATTTAGAGCTCTAGGCTCACAGAGAAGAGACTAGTTTTTTTCTCTTTGCAGCTTTGCAACTTTACGACATATTTCCTGTTAATGTAAAGGAAGCTTATAACATATACTTCATTGAAATTATTTTGTGTTTTCAAATTAACAGGGCAGCACAGAGAAGGCACATAGTCAATTTTGGTTACTTAAACACACATAACTTAGAGTATCCATGTACCAGAACACACCGTTTCATCCTCACAATCCTATTTTTTAATGTTGGCTTGTATGTGCCATGTATTTTGGGCATTCAAATCAAGAAACGTTACTAAATACTGTCAGTATCCTTACATGTTCTTATGACTGAAAAAAATGGTAAGTAACCAAGTATTTTTCGTGTATATATTTCCTAAATTATAGGAGTGACAGTCTCAACAGACAAATACACAAGTTTTATGAATTTCTGCTTCTAGGCATACAGTAGCCTAAAAGGCAATAGATTAATAGATAAGCTGAGAATGAATGTTTTTATTGATCAAATTAGTGTATCTTCAGAGTGCTGTGGAAATAACACTCCTCTATGTGTTTGCTAACCTTTATGGAAATTGAGTCACATTGGTTGCCCTTGAATATTCTTCAAGTATATTTTTAATTCATTTAAATGGTAGATTTTAATGACTAACTTTTTAACATGTGCATTTTGTTTTATTCTTATTCTTTCTCTTTTCACAGCCTTGTGAACAAGGACGCCGGATGAAGCGAATTCACGCTGTGGCTAACATCGGCACAGCGCTGAAGTTCCTTGAAGGAAGGAAGGTAAGAGAGAAACAAAGAAATACTTAGGAAGAAGGCCTGGGCATCCTGATGTTTCCAATATAGTCCATGGGGTCAAAACACTGCATGTAATCTATATAGATGTGCAATGTTATTGTAGGATAATTATAGATTTATCAAAAATTGCAAAAAAAGACTTCATGTCTACATTCATTATGTAATGTTAAGAACTTACAAAATCATAGTAACCTTACTATCAAAATAAGGAAATTAAAATAGGTATGGTACTACTGACTAAAGCATAGACATTAGCCTAATTATAACAATATTCCACCTATTGTCTTATTTCTGTTCCAGGATCCAATCCAGCATCACACCTTGCATTTATTTAATTTAATTATCTCCCCCTTCTATAATAAGTCTTCATTCTTCCCTAAAGTCTTTTATGACCTTGATACTTTTCATAACTGCTGGTCACTTATTTTGCTAAATGTCTCTCAGTTTGTATTTGTATGATGTTTTCTCATGATTAGATTGGAATTATATATTATTATTCTTCCCCATCCCCTTCAGTATGTTATGTTATTCATTTGTCATAGAAGTAGGTTTGTTTGTTATTATTTGTGTTCCATTTTGCCCCTATCGACACACACATCCTGGTTGATTTTGTTTATTTATTTTGAGAGTGAGACATTACCATAGTTCTAAGAGCAAAAGTTAGACTTGAAAAATTATACCCTCTCTTCATTCCTATACCCCATTCTCATTCCCTCACTGTTACTGTAATTCCTACTTGTAGGTAACTAGTCTCTCTGGTTTCTGACATCCTTTCTGTTTTTCATAACTGAGATGTGTTTTCGTATCCCCCTTTCTTTTTTACATGAAGAGTAACATACTATAGATGTATTTTGATTTTTTCATTCAGCAGTATATCCTGGAAATTCAACCCTAGTCAGTTTATAGACATTTCCTTATTAATTTTTACAGTTGCAGAGTATTCCATTGCCTGTATGTCCCAGAGTTAATTCAACCACTCTCTTTTGAATGGGCATTTCGGTTGTTTCTAACACTGTCCAAAAGCAAACAATGATGCAATTAATAACCATGTGCATGAGTACTTTCATATTATTGGAGGTGTATCTTCTAGATAAATTTCTTGAAGTGTGATTCCCAGGTCAAAGGTAAGTGTGCATGTAATTTTGTTAGATATTGCCATATTTCCCTACAAAAGGGCTGCACCAATCGTCTTAGATTTAGCCTTTACTAATTTGTGAGAATTTAGGAATTTAGTACTGTCCCTGGCAGTACTAAAACGAGCTTTATTCCCAGATAATTCTGGGAAATAGAATGATCCAATTCATTTCTTCTCAGTCTATATGTACTTTATTAATTCATTTACTTCACAAATATATAATTGAGTATTTCTATAAGGCAGGAATTCTGGAAAATACAAAACAAAAGAAAACTTGGATTCTGGCTCTTAAATAATTTACATATTAATTAGTTGGTAATGCAATGAATCAGTATACATTTTAGTCAGTTGGCAAACTTCATGCCCAGGAGAGATTCCAGGCATTAGGATGGTATAGAAAACAATCTTAGCATCTTAAACAACGGACAATCTGGACAATGTTTCCAGATCATTCTAATCTCATTCTCATTGGGGGTTTCCCTTCTTCCCGCTCACCCTTCATTAGTTTTTCATATTAATAGAAAACTGAATGAAGGCTTGTTGAACAGGATATTTAGAATTTTTCGGGTCATTCATTCTCTCATTTCAGTTGTATGAAAATAACGTCTTACTTCATTCTGATTATATTTACTGTTAGTTGTGAATTAATGTCTTAGAGAAAAATGTAATGACTTAACCTATGAAAGGCATTCTCTATAAGGAAAACTTATTTTCATAGAAAACCTGTTTTTATAAGGTCCATCTTCAAAGAACAATGCTAAGTAATAAAAACAATGAGTAGAGGAGAATCAGAGTTTAAATATTATATTTGCTAAGGACAGAAAGGAATGTGTTTGAATCGCAGAACAAAATCCAAAGAATTTCCCCTCTGGCCCCACAAGTCCCTTAATCTTTTTAAAATTTCCGCTTAAGTCCTCCCACCCTCCAACTACCTGAAACACATCATTTGTGGTCACTGTTTCTTATACCTCTCTGTCCCATCGCCCAACAGGACATTTGGCTATGGGGAGCAATGAGTGTTGAAGGCTCCTTGGCGCCCTCCCACTTACTGTTTCCTTTTCTTCTTCACAAATTAAGAACTTATGTCCTGATCATATTTTTAGGAATTTGTCTTTGAACTTTATACTTACTTTGTCCTCCACTTAGATTATTTTTGCCTTAGATAGTAGGAGATTTATTTAGTCCTCGTATTCTTACTAAGCTTGTTTTCAGGAATCACGAAGGCACTTCTCACGTGTTACTGGGGAAACCCTACACACTGTGTTTATTTTTTTCTCTTGTTTGCAAGGCTATCGAAAAAGACATATGTTAGAATCTGATAAGAAGCATATAAATGTGACTGGTGAATGGATCTACCATGACTTTCCATAAGTTTCTGTCTCCAACGAAGTGTCAGGTAGATGATTCTAAACAGTAACACAGGAAGCTAACCATGGACCACCATAGTGCAGACAAAAGACATAGTGTAGATTCCTAGGAGGTCCATAAAGGTGCTGTGAAGAAATGAAGTGAGATAGAAGCTTGCTATGGTAACAGGAGCACGGAGCAGCCTGTGCTCTGTCTGTCTAGAAGAAGGGAAGAAATACTCAGTTTCAGCTAGAGGTATCTTAATGAAATGCAAGGATGGTGATCCCAAGTTTTCTGATTTGTCAAGAAAACTCAGTAATCTGGATTTTTATCGAAATGTAATTATTTATTTTAATTTGTTTAAATTATGTATTAAATAAGGCTAGTAGTTTGCTGCCTGTATTATTGTCTTACACTAACAGGTTTAAAAGAAGTAAACACAGTCTATAGAAGTTCTTAATTTTTTTCTGTCATTGAACCTGATGAATAAGCTTCACCAGTGAGACAAAATCCCATGAGCAAACTTCAAATTATTTATAGTGATTTTTGTGGCAGCTTTTACTCTGCCCCATGATGTAAAACTAGTCGATTTAAACTATTTATTCAAGAGTATTTATGGGATGATTTTGCATCTGATAACATTTTTTTAAGTAAAAGATGTACACACTTCTGACCTTTATTGTTAATAACACCTCGTAAAATCTCGGCTGAGAATCATTGAGCTAGAAGTCTGAGGAGTACTTCATTGTGTTTTTTAATTTGCTTAGGAGTTATGAAAGGGATGCTGAGCAGTTGTACATTGTAGGATATAGAGATTGACTGAGATTGACTTACGAGAGAAGTTCATTTTGTTGGGACTTAGCAAATAACTTGCTAATGGTTGGGAACACATCAAAATGAATAAATGGGGACAATTGTACATAGGTTGACACCTGTCCTGAAGGCTTATAGTTACCATCAGCCAATAGTAGGCAATGGCAATAGTCTCTGTTCTACTGTTTCTTGGCTTTCCTTTGTTTTTCTTTATAATGTATTTCCAAAGTCATGTACTAAATTTATTCTCTACATTTTTATTCTCTTTGAACAAATAACGCTGATTTTGAGAGAATATTTATGTGTGTATATCATCTTCTCCCTTTGTTTTTCATGTCAGTCCATGTACAGAGGATCACCGGTTAGTACACATTTTAGAATTCTTAACTCCTGATTTTTATAGGTAAAAGAGAACATAAGTTTCATGCTATTTGGTATCACACTTCAAAGTAAGTGCATCTTCTTAAACTATCCATCACAGTTTCTTTTAAGTTGCAGTCAACTTTTACATATAAAAAATAACCTTTTTTTGTTGTTATTTGGCATTTTAATAGATAATTTCCTGCATGGTGTTACATTTTGTAAACTTTAAACAAAACAAATTTCTGGAATACGATTTTATAGTTGTTTTTGTTTTGTGTACCTAACAAATGCCCTTGAACTCTTCACTGTAACTACGTGCTTGTTTGTATTTATGGCTCACCCTACTTACTCTTGTGTACCACTGTGTAGGCATGACCAGATCTTACTCATGTCTAATAAAGTCCTAATTGTTGCATAGTTAAATTGGTTATAATATTCTAGCACATTACTAGTACAGTTTTTCTTTTTATACAGATTAAATTAGTCAACATTAACTCCACTGATATAGCTGATGGCCGACCCTCAATAGTTCTCGGATTGATGTGGACTATTATTCTATACTTCCAGGTATTGCACTACAGTTCCTTTTTCATTGATGCAATCTCATGGAGGGAGAGAGTGGTAGACATTTCAATAATGCCTTCATTTGCCATATCTTTGGGGTTTATCCTCAACTTAGCAGGCATGTGACTTTCACACATACATTGTTTTTTGGTAGCAGTAGAATTTCCACTTTTTCCTTGCAAGGATGTTGTACATGGAAGTTCTCATCCAAAAGAACTCCAGCCAAGGTACCCAATCTGAAAATTGGGCACAATACAATGGAGATGAAATATACAGGGTGTCCCCAGAGTCACCATACATAGGAAAAATGGGAAATTATAGCTAAATGTACATTTATTTACAAAATATTCATTACAAAAATTTTCCTTTGTATGGAGACACCCTGCAGATGTAGAAGGAACTCAAGAAAATTTTCTTTTGTCTCTGGAAGGGAGCAGTTCTAAGCTCCTATTAGACACAAAGGGGAAAATGAACTTTCCATTCTATCTAGAATAATTATTCTAATGATTAGGTTTTATTTTATTAATTCATTCATGCATTTGACTAGTGTTTATTACTGTGTGTAAGATGCAGCTAGAGGGGCAGTAGGAAGTACGAAGAGGACTAAGACATCAGCCATGCCCTTTAAGAGCTTACATTTTTGTCAGGGGTCTTAAGGGTATTAACTATAGTTGGAAAAGTAAAATATCTGATGAAGGAAGAACAAAGATGATTCTTATATTTTTTCTGGCTGTTAACTAACTAACAGATTGAAGAGCTGACCAGCAACCTCCCCCAGCTCCAGTCTCTGTCTGGCAGTGCATCCTCAGTGGACAGCATAGCGAGCTCTGAGACTGCCAGCCCACCAAGCAAGCGGAAGGTGGCCACCAAGATCCAGGGAAATGCGAAGAAGGCTTTATTAAAATGGGTTCAGTACGCAGCAGGCAAGTGAGTACCTAGAGTTTGTCTAAACTTGAAACCCTTAAATAATTTGAGTTATCAATTTGTTACTGATTGAACCTTTTAATAATTGTAAAATTTAAAGACATATTTGAAGCCATTCAGTCTTGGCTTCAGTCCTTGGTTTCACTCTTTCCTTAAATTAAGATATAAACATGAATCACCAGTAATATTCTAGGAAATGCTGTAATTATATCAATTCCTTCTTCATTCATGTGATTGGGCCTGATTAATTAAGTTGGTTAATCTTACACTTTGCTTAGTAGTGTGAGGGCTGATTCTATTCAGGTCATTGTTTATAATTTCTGCTTCCATTAAATAATCTCTACACAAATAAATTAGAGATTTAAACTTGATTATTTCTTCATAAGACCGTTGAGCTCTATTTAATAACATTATAAGTTAAGTTCCACATTCTAAAAAAAAATTTGTTTGTTTTAATTCCCTGAAACTTTCTAGCAATTTTATTTTTAAATTATTTTCCTTTGGTCTTATTTTTTATCAAGAATGTAAATTCCTATCTCAACTCTAGATTTACGAACTGAGCATTTGCTTCTAGTTTTCAGTTTAGGCATAATAAATTTACATGTGTATATATTTATGTGATAATAATGGATAGAAAATTACTACTCTCAAACTGCCTTTTCTCATAGCAATTCCAATAAAACTTTCAATTGATCATACCTATATTTTGTGGTCTGTTGTGGGCAGGGGCTAGTCCCTTCACAAAGAAACTGTGCTTCTGCTTGATTTTCCAAAACATTTAAAATTAATTCAGGGTTGAGTGCAGTGGCTCACGCCTGTAATCCTAGCACTCTGGGAGGCCACGGAGGGAGGATTGCTTGAGCTCAGGAGTTCGAAACCAGCCTGAGCAAGAGCGAGACCCTGTCTCTACTATAAATAGAAAGAAATTATCCAAACAACTAAAAATAGAAAAAAAAAATTAGCTGAGCATAGTGGCATGTACCTGTAGTCCCAGCTACTCAGGAAGCTGAGGCAGGAGGATTGCTTGAGCCCAGGAGTTTGAGGTTGTTGTGAGTTAGGCTGATGCCACAGCACTCTAGCCTGGGCAACAGAGTAAGACTCTGTCTCAAAAAATAAATAAATAAATAAAATAAAATAAACTCACTTTCTATCTAGTTTTGCATGCCAAAATCTAATCTGAATTTGATTCTCTACTTCTGGAAAATAGCTGTAAACAAGTACTAACCATTATAAAATATTGAAGCACTAAACATAGGGAGTTCTATTTTTAAAATGTTTGAAGAGCAAAAATAAAAAGAGGAAAAGATAAACATAGAAAAGATGTAATTAGTGTTACTAATTTGTGTAGTTTTGTTTAGCTTTCAAAGTGAGGTCTAGTTAAGGGTATGTTTTTATGATTCCAGTTATAGTCAAAAATATTTCTGAAAACAAAGCTTTGTGGCTCTTTAGAATCTGTAGTAGAAATTAAATAAAACCCCTTCCCACATTGCTAGTACACTATTTGATTGGGTCTATAATTAAACAGTACAGTGGGCATTACTAATCTCTACAGCAACTTAAGTTGGCAGGGAGGAGAAAATGTGTTAGGTACAAGAAGACTGATAACCACGTGCTAACATTTATTGTGAATGCCCTTGCGATTAAACTTTGTAATAATGTCAGTGTGATATTCTGCTGCCCATTGCTCCACGCAGCATTAAATTAACCAAAAATAAATTGATTTTCTTTAACAATATAGTAGCTTTCATTTAATAATGTAGTAAACTCAAATTTAATGCTGTTGGGGTTATCCTGCATTTAATCTAGTTTCACGCATGCTGTTTTGGGTGTCAAAGACATACGAGAGTCTGATCACAGCTCAAAGTCATTCCTGCAAATCGTGTATTGTCAATGTTAGTGGAAATTGTATTTTCCTTATTTGTGTGAATGTCCAGAATCATGGACCTGAGGGTCCTTCACCTACCAACACATCAGTAACATCTGTTTCTTTTGTAGCTGCATAAATTGTAGAGGTTTGGGGAAATGACTATCCTAAGCCATGAAACTTCTGTAATAAACACATGATTCTACTATGCTACCAACCTGTTCATAATTTTTTCTAAAAGCTGCTTTTTATATTATCCCAGTGTGTATTTTTCAAACAACTTTTTATCTGACATGTGTAAACGACTTTAAAATATGCATCCAATTCGGTATATGAGTAACAATTGTTCTTAAAATTATTAACTTGTGTGGGATCCTATAGTCTGAAGATTTATCATGCTCCCAAGATTGGAGACAGTGGGAAATCATAAATAATCTAGGAAACAGTAGGCTAATTTTAAGAGTATATTTACTGTTTTCATATAAATTTTAAAAATATTTAACAAATAAATTAAAAAATTATTTCAGTAACCCAAGATAGTTAAGCCGTTTATAGTTTTTTGAATTAATTCCATCCACTATCAGTACAGATTCTCAGAAATAAAAACATTAAGTTATAGCATATCTGACATGTGCATACCTACTGTCAAATGTCTAAGAACAGTTATATTGTAGGACAAAATTAGTAACATAACCAAACAAATTAATATATGTTTATTTATGAAGCCGGTGATTATGTTCAATGATGCTATTTTTAGCAAGTATATTTCACAAAAACTGAGTGCACATGGGTAAAACATGTTTTAAATTGAATATTAAGTTTGCTGAGATAAAAGTTAAGAGCACTTACCAACTAATTGTATTAATCAATGTATCAGTCAGATTGTGTTTTACATGGAAAATTTGAAATTCTGGCAAAAAAATAATTGAGTGCTGTTTCTGCTTTATTTAGAAACAACTGTAAAGTGAATCAGACTAACTTTTAGAAAAGAAACTGCCAGATGACTTTATCCATTGAACGCTACCTATTTAAGTGACCTTATTAGTAGGCTCTACATGTGATCCAGAGGTCACGTGATGCTCAGGGGCATCTTTACAGCTCTTTTTTTGGAACTGCCTTTATAATTGATAAGTTATATGTAGAAAACTAATTGTGTACTTGCCTTCACTTCTATTTTCAACAACAAAATGTAACTACCAACTTGAATGAATTTCTCAACTATAATTGGATTTGAATTAATCAAACCATCCCCATAAGAAAAAGGCCTACCCCCAGGGTATTGCCCTCAAGGCACTTTCAAGAAAAAAAAAAGTTTAAAAACACTTTGATTGGTGGAGTAATTGGAATTATCGTCTGGACTTAAGTAGAGCATAAGATCCTTCGTGGACACCTTAAACATAGAATCACATCCCTTTACATTTGTGAATTCTAATGCATTTGATATAATTCAGCCACATTATCTTAGTCTGTTATAACCTGTGCCTGTACAACACAGTGCTGCTTAGCATTAGAAATGTGTTAGATCTTTCTTTAAAAGATAATCATTTATTTATTGTTATCATTTTTGGTGTTTTCATAATTTTTCTTTCTTAAAATTTTTTCTGCAAGTTTATTTTCCTTTAAAAAAACAAGTGTAAAAAAGGTGCTTTACATTGCCTTTCTTAACTGAAAAATCTAACAGAAAAGTCTAAATATGGAACAAGAATTTCTCCATCTTGTTACCCTCTAAAATTTTTGGTTTGCTTAATTTTTCTCAAAAACAATGAACTGATATAGCTAATTGCACAACGTTGGTGAGAAGCCTTGGACTTTGCGTGAGGCCTTGGAGAAAGGGCTTGCATGTATTAAGAATGTGACGTTATTTTATGTTTTTGTCACACTAAGGCACACTGGAATAGAAGTGAGAGACTTTGGGAGGAGCTGGAGAAGTGGGGTTGCCTTTCATTCAGTCATCCATGCCATTCGACCTGAACTAGTGGACTTGGAGAAAGTGAAAGGCAGATCTAACAGAGAAAACCTGGAGGATGCTTTCACCATCGCTGAAACGGAACTGGGGATCCCAAGACTGCTAGATCCCCAAGGTAGGCTGGATGATGGTGCAGCGCAACATAGTGGGCTTGCATGTCTTATACCCAGAAATTACACACGACTTCCATAGTCAGGAATAAAATATGACTTCATTGGTCCCGCCAGAATTAGCCAGGTGAATGGACTTACTCATTAGACTTAAGGTGGAATGAAAGTTTTGGAAGTGTATGCACAGAGTGTGAGGATGTGATAAGATAGAAGAATTACTCTGTTTCTGTAACTGCAAAGAATCTGGGAGAAATAGATTATTACTAATCTAAGATTATAAAGTGTTGGTTATTAGATACTTAGAAATGTTGGTAGCCATCCAGTGTTTTGGTGTCAATCAGAAAACTACACAAATGATTGACTAATATTTGTTATTTTAATTGTTTGGCATATTTTTGGTAAGGTTGTAAATTTTAAGACTTTCTGGAAATGGAGTTAATTCTCCTTCAAGCCTTCAAAAAACAATTTTTGGCCGGGCGCGGTGGCTCACGCCTGTAATCCTAGCACTCTGGGAGGCCGAGGCGGGTGGATTGCTCGAGGTCAGGAGTTCAAAACCAGCCTGAACAAGAGGGAGACCCCGTCTCTACTATAAATAGAAAGAAATTAATTGGCCAACTAATACATACAGAAAAAATTAGCCGGGCAGGGTGGCGCATGCCTGTAGTCCCAGCTACTCAGGAGGCTGAGGCAGTAGGATTGCTTGAGCCCAGGAGTCTGAGGTTGCTGTGAGCTAGGCTGCCGCCATGGCACTCACTCTAGCCTGGGCAACAAAGTGAGACTCTGTCTCAAAAAACAAAAAAAACAAAAACAATTTTGATGCCTTTGATAAACTTTAATAACCTAGTAAGTTGCTTATTTTGGTGAAATAAAAGTATCAAAGCGAATTTTCCAAATGTCACTGATAATTTCTTATGTAGGTTGGCAATTATAGAAATTTCCATAATAAACACAGAAATGTAAATACACAGTGAAAGCAAATTATCCACCACCCCTCAACCTTCCTGGCCTCTGCTTACTGCCAGCTCTGTCACCCAGGATGGAGTGCAGTGGCCCAATCATAGCTCACTCTAACCTCAAACTCCTGGGCTCAAGCAGGAGCTTGAGCCCTCAGCCTCCCACCTCAGCCTCCTGAGTTGCTGGGAGTACAGGCAGGTTCCACCATGGCTGGTTATAATGTGCCGTCTTTCTGAGTCATAACATTTCCACCACGTATTATCTATGCTTAATTGATTTCCCTTCCCCTCGAAATTTTAAATAGTAATTCTATTTTCATTCTACATTTTGGACAGTGGTTTTTGGTACAATTGCTAGATTTCAAAGCTTGTGTTATTGAATGCTAATTAATTTATTCAAGTTTGGCTTTGATTTTTCCAGATGTTGATGTGGATAAACCAGATGAGAAGTCTATTATGACCTACGTAGCCCAGTTTCTGAAACATTATCCTGACATCCACAATACAGGCACTGATGGGCAAGAGCACGATGTAGGTCCTTGTTTTCTGCAAGTATTGATAGTGAATGCAATGATAGTACCCAGATTTTTAAACTAGAATATATTTTTAATATGAGAACAACTGAATAAAAAATAGATACTACCAAAGGGGGTGGTGACTAAAGGAAAAAGTTTCTCTGGTTTGTATACTAGATATGTCAGAGAGAGCATTACTAATAGTAAATGCAAGCTATGTGATGTCAATGAATTAAAATTGTGGAAAGATAGTAGCGTTGGGAAATACATTTTAGTAAACTGCGCATTTAAATAAGTGTATATCTGTCACATCATTTGCATGTCTAGATCTTATGTACCCTTTTTCTGTTTTATCTGATGAAATCTAATTCTGACTTTTGGATTTTATTATTTCTACTCACAGCAAACTTATGGAAGTAAAGCACAATTTGTAAAAGTTCTTATTATTTACCATAGTTAGATTTTTTCAGCTTTTCAACAGTTTAAATAACATTTACGTTTTTCATATTGCTCTGATGATATATGTTCATTGTCACAAATTTAAAAATTGAGAAAAAAAGAAAAAGGAAAATAATCTTTACTTGAACGTCTAGAGAGAAACTATCCTAGAAAAAAAATTAATATGGTGGTGTTAGTTCCCAACATTTTTATATGAATATGCAGATATAATATTTTTAAAAACAGAATCATAGTGTCCATACAATTTTATAATTTTCTTTTTTCATTAACATTATAAAGAATTATGCAAGCCATCATATGTATATACAATAATTTTTTAGCCAATATTAATTGTTGGAAATCTCTAACTTTTTGCTATTATAAGCAGTGCTTTTATGAACAACCTTTAATAAGGTGTTGTTCTAAGATTATTTTATAGAAGTAGAATTCTAGGAATAGCATACAAAATGGTAATTCTTTTAAGCATGTTTTTCAAATCCCCATGTAGAAAATTTGTCCCATTTCACACTCTAGCCAGGTCAGCAGAGTGCCTGTTTTCCTGGTCTTTAACCACAATGCATATGACCATTTTCTAAATATTTTAGAAGTAGTATTGTATTTTTTAATTGTAAAGGGGTGGAAGATTCAGTGCTGAATTTAAAATGAATCATAAAGCACTCCTTCCCTTCTTTTCCCTTTTTCCCCCTGAAAACAAAATGTAATTATGAGGCAAATGGGATCAGGGAAAATAATAAATGGAATTTTCAAAATATGTTAAAAACTTTCTCTGTCTTCGTTACTCAAGTCTCAATTGGAGTTTTCAGAGCACTTGAGATTACAATGAAGAGCAATAAGAAACCAAACATTTTAAAGCGTGTTTTCTCTGTAGACTTAGAAACAGCCTAGGGAAGGAAAAGGTTAGAGGAGCATAACCCAAAGTTCTCAAGCAGGAAAAGGTATTTTGCCAAGAGTTCAGAATCAGTGGCTTCATAAAAGAATTAAGCAGAACAATAACGATTCCTTCCTAGGTCTCTTGGATGAAGTTAATCTGGCATTTAATAGAACTATGTTAGTTTCTTAAAAACTGTAATTTCAGGAAACCTCTTTTGTTCCTTGCCAGGATTCAGGCACAAATATTGATCATCAGAGTAACTTATCTAGAGTTAGTAAAATAAATGTTTCTAAGAAACACCACAAATGGCTAAAGCAAAGACTCCACGTGCAAATGCAAGCATAGAATGATGCAAGTATTTTGGAATCATTTGGGGCTTCTTGGGTTTTGACAATATAACTGGACATGAATGTTGCTTTCTGACTAAGAAACTCTATTAGAAAGCATGTTAGACTTACGCCATACAGCACAGAGAAAATCCCGCCAAATTTTCATCTGGTTTTCTTATCTGAAGCCCTTATATTATTCAATTGAATTTATATCTGATCTGGTTTCTGAGTTTTTACTATTTTAATTTCTCTGACATTAATCATCTCTCCAGATTAGTAAACTCTGTGGCTGGGAACATCTAAAAAGCAAAAGGAGATGCTTTACTTAATATTCATTAGCAGAAATTTAATGCAAAAACTCTTTAAAGATTTGAAACACACACATTCTTTTTTTTTAATCTCCTTGGAGTTTATTTAAAATTAAGATTCATGCCTCTTCCTGCCATTTGATTCCAATGATGGGTAGACCCTAAGATTCTGCATTTTTATTTTTATTATTTATTTATTTTTTGGCTGTATAGTATTCGTGTGTGTGCGCGCACGCATGAGTAAATGAAAGAGAGAGAGAAAATAAAAGTGAAAGTAAAAGAGAAAAGTAGAGAGAATGCTGACAGCTTAGCTGCTTGGAATTTAGGTGGTCTTCTACAAGCAAATAGAGCCCCATGTCTTTTTTTTTTTTTTAAAGACACAGGGTCTCATTCTGTTGCCTAGGCTGGAGTGTAGTGGCACTGTCATAGCTCACTGCAGCCTTGAACTCCTGGGCTCCAGTGATCCTCCAACCTCAGCCTCCCAAGTAGCTGGGAGTATAGGCACTTGCCACTACACCTGGCTAATTGTTAAAAACTTTTTGTAGAGGTGGAGTCTCACTATGTTGCCCATGCAGGCCTTTAACTCCTGGCCTCAAGTGATCCTCCCATTTCACTCTCTCAGAGTGCTGGGATTACATGCAGAGACACCACCATTCCTGGCCTCCACATGTCTTTTGAATGCATTTAAAAGTTACCAACTGTAGAAAAGCCATGAGACTAAAGGGTTCTGGGACTTTAAATATTGTTTTGCCCTTTGTTTTTCTATTAGAAAGGAGAAAATCGAGTGTATAAATAGCTACATCCTTCTCACCTTATTGTAATTTGCTTGACACTTTCCCACCACTAGAATAAGTCATTACTAAATAGACTCTAATGAAGTTATTTTAAGAACATAATACTTTTCTCTCAGGTGACTTTTGCTAACAAACAACCCCTCTTCCGGACAGTCTCAAGTGGTTTTCAAACACAGAAGTGGAGGAGGAGACTGTCCTCGGAGGCGCACGGTGAAATCCTACACTCACCCCTTATAGAGGTCACATCGACCTATGGTACCATGGATAGACCAAGAGCATCCTTTTCCGCTGAGCTCATAAGAATGTGTTATCAGTGCTTTTCTGGGCATGAAAATCAACCAGGAATAAAGCATGTGTCTTGATCACATTCACCTGCTTATTCGGGAGAGCCGTGATGGGGAGAGTAGAGAACTTTCGCACTCTTGGGCTCCAGCTCCATTCCTTTCTGTTATTAACTACACTACCAACATATCACTTATCCACTGTCATTTATTGAGTGGTACTGAGTGCCAGACACTGTTAGGCAATGGAAATGAAAAGATACATAAGGCATTTGTACAGTTGTCCCTCGGTATCCACAGGGGATTGGTTCCATGACTCCCAATAGACACCAAAATCCTTAGATGCTCAAGTCCCTGATATGAAACGGCATTATTTACATATAACCTACATGTATCTTCCCATATACTTTAATCAGCTCTAAATTATTTATAAAACCTAATGCAATGCAAATGCTATTTAATGGTTGTCATGCTGTATTTTTGAATTTGTATTATTTTTATCGTCATTTTTCTTGTTTTTTTTTTTTTCTCGATATTTTTGATCTGAGGTTGGTTGAATCTGTGGATACAGAGGGCTGACTGTAAAATGAGGAAAGAAGGGACAATTAAGGGGACAAATACAATATAATGCATTTGGGTAAACATTAGTGCTCAGGCTGGTACCAGATCATAAAGAAGTCTTCTCAGCATGTGGTCCTAGACCAGCACATCAGATTCACCTGGAAACTTAGAAATATACAATTCTCAGGCTCTGCCCCAGATCTACTGAGCCAAAAAGTCAGCGGGGGTGGGGGGGGGGGGTGCCCAGCAATCTGTGTTTTCACAAGCCTTCCAGGTGATTCTGGGGCACACTAAGTTTGAGAACCACAGGCCTAGAAGAGAGACCCCTTCCCCAGACTTAGAGGTCAGAAAAAGCTTCCTAGGGAAGTTGTGCATGGGTTGAGCTCTGAAGACAGCATCATCCAAAGGAAATGGGAATATAAGTGTTTGAGCAGAAGGGACTATCTTTGTGAGACCAGAAAGTGAGAGAAGCCATGGATCATGTAAACACGTACCAATCTTTGTACTAGGTGTGTTACATAGATTACCTCTATTCCCACCAAAACATGGAAAAGGTGTGCAATGATTCCTCTTTACAACAGTAAAGAGGTTAACAAAAAGACATACCAAGTTCCCAGAGCCAGTGCATGGCAGAACCTGAATTTGAAACCAGTTTGGCCTGCCTTCGTAGATAGCACTCCTTCCACTCTGACACGTCACCTGTCCATAGGGTCGGTGATTTTACCTGTGTCACAGGACTGCCGGCAGCAAGTGAGATGCTCTAGTTGAAAGCTATTTGTAAGTGCCAAAAAACATGTTAAATATGTTTATGATTACTTTGGCATTCTTACAAGATAGGAAATCTTGATGAAAAAAATAAGATGTTTTCATTAAATCAATGCTAGAATGGCTCCTGTTATTATGTGTGAAAACAAGGATGAAAATCTCAATTTTATTTTTCATTTTCGAGATGTAAGCAGTGGCCTTGATGCATTCATTCAGCAAATAACTTGGTAAATCTCTTATAGTGCCCTGTTGCCAGGGTCTAGGAATACCACATTGAGCAAGATAAATGTGCTTTCTGTCCATATGGAGCTTATAACTCTGAACTTATAACTATTATCATTTCAGACAATAGTCCAGACAAGTCATCCAATGTTACTGTGACTGAGACTCCTCAAATTCAGTCCAAATTAATCCCATCTAGAACAGTCCTCTGGGTTACCGATGGCCTTGGGTTAGGAAGCAATTCCCAGGCTTGTGTTTCCACTCGAGCTATTGCTCTTTCTCAGTTTTTGTATAATTAGGACATTCCCTCTTGAGCACGTTTTCTTTATTAGTGTTACTTGAGGGGGAAAAATGGAGGAAGATAATTTCAGTATCCAACAAGATAATTAAGATACTTTTCTAGTGCCAACCTTTGCTTCTTATTCTCCTAAAGAGGTGGAGGTGAATAGAAAGAAAATTTTTCGGGGATAATTGGGACTTACTAAATATTAAGTCTCTTCTAGTGTCGGTCAAGTATTAATCATCAATTAAATAAATGCACAGATACTAATAAAATTGCATTGTCTCCTGGTTTCCAGAGAGAAGACAGACTAATTTTAAAGGAAACGAAAGTTTGGATAGAACAATTTGAGAGAGATTTGACAAGGGCACAGATGGCAGAATCAAATTTACAGGATAAATATCAGGTAATGTATGGAAGAGCTTTTTGGATTTTTCAAAAGCTTTTCATGAATAAGATTCATGTATATCATTTAATCTATGTTTAATCTTTAAAATTATACGAATCAGAAAATCTTTAAAGAAAAATAATATGCATTAAGTTTGTATTAACATAATAATTGTATTTCTATCTAAATTGCATTGTGTCCACACTATCTATGGATCTCTGAGTCTTCTTCACTCAGAACTCAGCCTTGTAGGTGATCCAGAACATAAACATAGAACTAGTGGTCTCATAGATGTCATCCAACACAAATACACACACACACACACACACACACACACACACACACAGAAAAGGCTTGAGTCAAATTTAAAATTACTACAAAATAAGCTGAATTTAGTAAAGGATTGCAACATGAATATTCGGTGTGGGTCCATTAAAAGGACTAATTTCTACTGTGACCTGCCTAGTTCAACACTTTTACATTCAAGTAGAGGTTGGAGTTGTTTTTGTTTTTCCCCATGCTGATTATGCTGTCATTAATTGGATTTCTACTTCCAATTTCCACTTCCTAGATACAAGGTCTTTTCTTTTTTTGAGACAGTCTCACTCTGTTGCCCGGGTTAGAGTGCTGTGCCATCAGCCTAGCTCATAGCAACATTAAACTCCCGGGCTCCTTCTCCTCAGCCTCCCGAGTAGCTGGGACTACAGGCATGCACCACCATGCTCGGCTAATTTTTTCTACATATTTTTAGTTGGCCAATTAATTTCTTCTATTTTTTAGTAGAGAGGGGTTCTCACTCTTGCTCAGGCTGGTTTCTAACTCCTGACCTTGAGCAATCCTCCCACCTTGGCCCGCCAGAGTGCTAGGATTACAGGCATGAGCCACCGCATCCAGCCCAAGATACAAAGTCTTATAACAGGTTTCTCCCATTAAAAAGTTGTGATTTATTTTGTGCAGCATTGTCATTTTTCTCTCATTTAAAATATCACTCCATTTTAGTGGCAAAAATGTAGTATATTCTATAGAATTTTCTACTTTACATTAGATTTCAATCATTTGTGCTATCAAAAAAATAGGGGCATAAAATGATACGACAGTTTCAGCATGTCAGACAATAAAAGATTTATCTCTGGCATCAGCGTGTGATTTTATATAATCATATCTGTAAACATGCCTGAATTTAGATGGATGATGCCATCAATACTGTATTTGTTGAACTTGGCAAAGCAATAAATATGTGCTTGTTATGCGTGTACTCTCTTGCTTTGTGACTCAATCTAATCTTTTTTCCCAAAAATAAAATTTTCTGGGATGATTTCCATTAAAAAATGATTAATACAGTAAATCGAGAACAGATATGCAAGAACAGAGTGAATATACTTATTTAGTACATTGGTTTTAGTTTCAGCATAAATTATCAAAAACTAAATTTCAAGTTATAAAGTTACCTGTTGCGCAGATGCTATTTTATAAGGGGGAAATAAAGGATTAGAAAAGTATAGAACAGAAACACTCCTTTAGGCCAAAGGTGATCACTAGTCTCCTAAAACAGGGTTAGACAATATGAAATCTGAATATAGGGAAAATTTTCTTTCATCTTTGTATTATGTACATCTGTTTCAACCTATCAGTAAATGCTGTATTTTCCAGTTTTTCCATTCAGAGAAGTCTGTGGGATAAAATTAAAAATTGGATTTACGTTTTGTATTTTTAAAATTCCGTTAAATTAGAGAGAATGGAAGGTAAAACGTGAAGTAGAATTCTTATTCACTATCTCCCCCTAGTGTTCTTCATGTAAATTTACATGTTGGTTTATAATTTTGAAATTCTTTTACATGTTTTAATTGCTAGATTCTGTGAGGCCATTCTCCTGTTCTGAAACATAATTGCACATTTCAATGGTATTTTTAATTCATATTTGGACTTGGAGTCACATTTTTGGGTGGGTTAATTTAATGTAAAATGTAGAACTTTAAAATGACTACTTTTAATGTTAGTATTAAGCTATGGTTAAGTCTGCATATTATAAATTTATCTTTACCATGCTATGACATACATAATATTTTAAAGCCATAAAATTAAAGCAAAAGGTTATCATGTAAATGAGGTCCCCTCCAGTTAGCCTCTTTATACAGGCTTACCTAAGCACAAATTTAGGTATTAATTTGGCATTATTTCGATAGATGTGATTTCTATTTGTAAATTGTTTGAGACTTTGAAGGAAAGCAACTATCTTGTTTATTAGCCTAGATTTATACTCCTGTTCGCTTTTATTTCTTGGCAAACATGTACTGGTGTATAAATTACTAATCTAGAAATGAGAAACCCTAGGTTTTAGTCCTGCCTCTGTAACTTGCTCTTGCCAGGTTGCTTCTGGGCTTCATGGTAATAATGCATGTCTATGTTGTAGGGTTGTGGAAAGAGCCAGAAAGGATAATATGCAGAGAGCACTTAGCACAGGATCAAGCTCACGGTCAGGGCTTGATGGGTGGCAGCTGCTATTAGTATCATGGCTGTTATTATTATTATCGACAACATTTATTGAGTGCTATCCAAATATAAAGGATTGTTATTTAGGAAATGTGCTTTCCTTTGCCTTTGCTTTTTTTGACTCATTGCCATATTGTTGCTGTTTTTCCTCTTTTAGTCATTTAAGCACTTCAGAGTTCAACATGAAATAAAAAGGAAACAGATTGAACATTTAATACAACCATTACATAGAGATGGTAAATTGTCACTTGACCAAGCATTGGTAAAACAGTCCTGGGACAGAGTGTCCTCCAGGGTAAGTTCTCTCATGATTAATTTCATTAGAGCTATGGAATTCAGTCAAGAATATTTTTCATCATATTTTCTACACAGTGATATTGTGTCAGGTCCTACTGCTTCTGTGGAAGGGTGGAAAGGCTTAACTATGGGATAACCTTTGCCCTCTTGTCAGGTTTTCCTGTAAGTTACTGGAAGTGCTTGGTCTAACAGCCATTTTCCTGCTTTCCCTACCCTACATGTGATATCAGGCACCAACTAGGTGGTAGACTGAAATCCTGAAAGACTATATGCACGATTGCTCACCTTATCCAACTTAATTCTGGGTTGTTTAGAAGAGGTGACCCTGTTGTCTCGTAGAAGATTCCAAGGAATGGAGCCCCAACAGCTTCTCATAGTCTGAAACCATGTTTCATCATCAGTTAATGATTTTCTTGTATTGACATACAATTTTATGTTCTATAATTCAGCATTTCTTCTTATCTGGTCATTCATGAATCTTAAGGGAAGCTGCTCATTATCTTTCATATTAATGCTCTTCCTGCTTAAAGACCAAGATTTCAAACCCCTGGGACTTTTCTACCACTAATAGGAATATTTTTCTTGACCTTACCATGTGTCCTGGCTTCTGATAATCTCATTTTTACCATTGACTTCATCAAATAGTAGGTTAGTTCCTGAGCACATTAATTCACCACAGCTAGCATTTCAGTAAACCAGGAAATGGTGTTTGGGAATTGGACAAAGTGGAAGCAATGGAGAGAAGATTACAAAATCATAGGATTATAGAAAGAATGCTGAAAACTCATCTTTGTCCAGAACTTTCTAGATAACCCTAATTTTTTTGGACTTGTTCTAATTGTGTGAAAAGTTTTAATGAGATTCTCATTTGACAACCACGATACACATCCATGGGTGCATAACTATTGCATCCTTTAAGTATGTCAGCAAACTCGGTCCCTTCCCTTTCAGCAAAAGCCACACTCAAAATCAGTGGGGGCTTTGTGCTATTCCCATAAGAAGAAAATTGCTTAAGCTTCCAATAATACACTTTCGTGTTTAAGATGTATTTTGAGTTTCATCAAAAGTTGCTTATAACTGTAATTTTCTCCCAAGCTCCAAAGCATCAAACTTACAACAGAGATATTTGCTTATTTGATATTTTTTGAATTAGCCTAAAATCGTCAACTTTAAACCTCATATAGGCTTTAAAATCATTTGGGGGAATTTTAGAAATTGTCTTCTGTATCAGAGATATTTAATATTTCTATTTTCTTGCTTTTTTAAATTTCAGCTCTTTGACTGGCACATACAGCTTGATAAATCTCTTCCTGCACCTCTGGGCACCATTGGTGCCTGGCTGTATAGGGCAGAGGTGGCCCTGAGAGAGGAAATAACCATTCAGCAGGTCCACGAGGAAACGGCAAACACAATACAACGGAAGCTGGAGCAACATAAGGTAAAAATTCTTTTTGGAAAACTTTCCAGCATGACAGTCCTAGTGTGGTTTGGACAGGTGGCCTAGTCAGAACCTATGCTGGCTTGGATCTCCCAAATATCCATCCTACATGATTGAGAGATGTCACGCCTGCTCAAAGTTTTCTAGTTAGCATTTTCCTGTCTTGTACTTGTTAATGACTTTTCAAGTCCAACTGTTCTCAGGTTGATTTCCTGAGATATTTTCCAATAGATCTGTGGTATTTTTTCATCTGCAGCTATCTTTGTTATTTCTCTTGCTGTGTGTTGTTTTCTAAAAGATAATCCCACCAATAGTATGTGCTCTAGACCTCGTCCCTGCCTCCACTCTCAAAGGAAAGCAGGCTAAAGTTCTTATGTCCTGGTGCTGTGGGGGTGGAGAGAGTGGTGTCTTTAAGAAGTGGTGGAATTAGGCTTTGACAACCTCTTAGTCGTTTTGAAATTTTTTAGCTTAATGTATGGTCAGTTGTATATAGTGTAACTTCAAATATACTTTCTCTTGGTGTTTTGTGATGGCATGGGCCTAACTAAAATGCTATATTTCAATAACATTACATTAATGCAATCCTGTATTTTGTGTGACTAACTTTGTGAACCCAATTTTCTGTGCCATGATGGGGTTTTAATGTACATGTGGAAAGCAAATAGATTTCTACTCCTGACTACACATGTGTAATTCATACCTCATAAACATGTGTGTATATTTCACATGACTGAGTCCCTTATATTTAATTTTATTTTTATTTCAACAGATTTAGGGGACACAAGTGGTTTTTTGCTGCATGGTTGTATTGCATAGTGGTGAAGTCAGGGCTTTTAGTGTACCCATCACCCAAACAGTGTACATGGGACCCAATAGGCCATCTTGTTCCTTGCTCCCCTCCCAACCTTCCAACTTCTGAGTCTCCAGTGTTCTTTATACTACTCTGTATTGGCCATGTGTACCCACCTATTATAGATCATACATGTTTTATGCCAAATTATTGATATATATACTTTTAAGTGCTCCAAAGAAATAGAATGCTATATATTCTAGATTAGATCATAAAGCAAATTCATGACAGATTTTGTTTTTTTGATGCCTCTCTAGGACATTATTTTGGAGCTAGAGAGGTAGAAATTCAGAGATGTCACGACATTGCAGCTCCCAGCCCTTTAAGCTCAACTGACTCCACCCCAGACAAGCTCATCAAACCAGACAGACACAGCGAGGTCTGACAGTGGAGACCATCACTCAGGGTCCTGCCTCCATTTCCTCCTGGCCCCTCCTCAGTTAGACTCGGTGCCTTCTGACACTTCTCAATTTGCTGATTATCTCTTATCCCCTCTCTTCCCACTGCCACAGTACACACAGACACTCACACATTCCCCCTCATTTTGCTACTAAGATGCGAGCATGACTTTGGGTCTTCTCCATCTGTACAAACACACACACAGAAAATCTGGAGGTAGGGGAAGCTATAAGAAAGCTGGAGTTCAAGATCATACAAGATCAAGTCATAGAGTTTTTCCTGGAATTGAGCTGGGTTAGGGCTTGTCCTAAGCATACAAACACCTGGCTGTGTCCCTTTTGAGATTCCTAGCATATCAAAAATAGGAAAAAGTGTGAAAACAGGGTTATACAGATATCTCTTTTAAAAATTAGCAATTAAGCATGTATAACATACAATAATTTCTCTTTATGTATTATATGTAATAATTGAAACCATTTTAACTGGTATGAATATTTGATACAAAAGAAGTCACCTTAGAGTTTTAAATAAAATGCAGAATGTATACAAATTGTGAGTTAAGTGTTTTAGCAAATATGCATTGCAGAACTAGGATGTGCCAGTTATTAGCATCAAGGAAACAGGTGAAGGGGACAGGTGGGGTCTGGACATCTGTGGTGCCTCTAATTTAGAAGTTTGAGAACATCATGTGTTAGTTGTTAATATAATACACCTGAGTTTGATTTAAATGTTTCCCTGTAGAGAAAATGTCCTACAATATAACTGTGCTATTTGCTAGATAATACTAAGATTTCACAGAAATACTAATTCAAGGCACACTACATGCGGCATCAGCCCCTGATAGGAGTGAGTTTTAACTTGGACAATGTGCACGCTGTTGGTATGTTCCCATAACTACATGATTCCAGACATTTCATAAGCCCTTCTGGCTCCCTTGAGAGAAAGAGAAAGATTCTGTGCCAACCAAGAGTACAGCTAGAAAAATCTCTCTGCCTAAGTGGAGTAACCAAGCCATAAAAACCAGAAATGAAGTGAGGCAGGGAGAGACAGGGGGCAGGAGTCAGAGAAGATGGTTATCTGAGACGAAAAAATCAGAAGGATGAGTTTCCAGCATGACCATCCCCCAGATGGTGCACATCTCACTCATTATCAGACTTGTGGGGGGAGGGGGAGAAGGGCATTTATTGAAACTTTAAAATCTGTACCCCCATAATACGCCAAAAAAAACAACAACAACAACAAAAAAAACAGAAGGATGAAAGAAAAAAAAAAAAAAAAAAAACAAAAAAACAGAAGGATGAAAGAAAGCCAGGGAATAATACAGTTGACAATAGGGAAAAAAAACAGAGATAGGTTAGGGCAGAGGCCAGGTTCAAGGTGTGAATCTCAGAATGATCTTTTATGGAGATAGGAACTTTTTTCCTGATGCCTTATATTTGTACATATTTATGGGGTACATGTGGAATTTTGTTCCATGTGTGGAATATGTAATGATCAAGTCAGTATTTGGGGTATCTGTCACTTGAGTATTTATCATTTTTATGTGCTGAGTGCATTTCAGGTCCTCTCTTCTAGGTATTTTGAAATAATATATCATACATTGTTGTTAACTATAGTCACCCTGTTCTGCTATTGAATATTACATCTTATTCTTTCTATCTAACTGTATGTTCACTAATCAATATTTCTTCATCCCCTCCACACCTCCCCAACCCCAGCCTCTGGTATCTACCACTCTACTTTCTACCTCCATGAGATCAACTTTTTTATCTCCCACATATGAATGAGAACATGTGAAATTTGTCTTTCTGTGTCTGGCTATTTCACTTAACATAGTGACTTCCAGTTCCATCCTTGTTACTGAAAATAATATGATTTCATTCTTTTTTTACAGCTGAATAATATTCCATGATATATATATATATATATCACATATTTTAATCCACTCATCCATTGTTGGACACTTAGGTTGATTCCATATCTTTGCTATTGTGAATAGTGCTGTCATAAACATGGGAGTGCAGGCATCCTTTAATATATTGATTTCTTTTCCTTTGGATAAATACCCAGTAGTGGGATTGAGGTAGGAACTTCTGCTAGGCCTGGGCATGGGTACTTAAAGTAGCAGAGTCCTGAAATAACTAAATTGTCAATTATGAGATTAATTCTCATTTATTTTATATGTGTATAAATATTATTGATTAATATAGATTAATATATTAATTATACATAATATATTAATTAATATTTATTAGGGACCTATAATAAGCTAAGGTTTTAGGATGAGAAGTTTGAGTCATTGTTAAGATAAGTAAAAATTCTAGGTTTTCTCAATGGCACTAAATCAGTCCATCAATTTGATATAACTACTTTATGCTAGTATATTGGGCTCACTTGGAGACGCAATAAATTGGAAAAGCACAATTTAGGACTCATTGTTATGTAACCAAGAATATTTGAAAATATTATCTTCCTATCACAGTCTAAAAAGTAATTCTGATTGTTGTCAAGAAAACTTAAACATGCTATCAAGATTAGAATGCTTGTATTTCTGTACTCCACATCATTTTTTTTTAAATGTAATTTTCATCAGTTAAAACATAGGTAGTGTTTGCAAATTGAATTCAGATCATGTTTGAAATATATATTTCAAAAAGTTTACTTTGTAAATGGTTCTGCCAGTGGGTTCATTTTACTATTTTTTTAAATTAACTTACATGTATGTCAGAATGTATTTATTCTGCAAAGTACACCTGTGTTATCTTTCCTATTTTCTAGTTACCCAAATGCTCAGTTGTCTAGAAAGATAACAATAATCACAGCTAACTATTATGAAGGATTTAATAATGTTTCCATTTTTAGTATTTAATTTTACTGAACACTTGACATGAGGGATCTGACACAGGTATTATTATCCTCTTTTACAGATGAATAAACTGTAGGCAGAGAGAGGCTAAGTGATTTGCCCAAGGTCAGATAGCTGATAATCCTGGTTGTCTTAAGCATTAAGCTTAAAACATGCCCACAAAGCTATTGCATATGGTACTTGTAGAGTGATTATATTAATATATTAATGGTGATATTGCTTTGGCAAAGTAAGGCTTTCAGTCTTAAGGAATCATGAGAGTATCCATCAGACTCTGCCACTTACTATCAATCCCATAGGCCAGTTTCCTACTTTCTTGAAGATTTTATTTCCTGAAAGGCATTGCATGCCATAATTCTTAATAACTTCAGTAACCCATAGATGATCCTCCCAATATTCTGACCTCTCAGTTTCTTGGCCTCTTCCCCAGTGGCCCTGCCTCCACCCAACCATAGTGTTCTCATCCCTCAGCCACTCACCCCATACTCATACCTAGAATGGTCATCTCCAGTAGCCATAACCCCTCTACGATCTCTTTGCCAAGCACCTCACTCTCCAGCCAAGCAAGCCTTCATCTCCTCTGCACCCTGAAATCCATCGACCCCACTGCCTTTTCACTGTTCCCATCCTCTTCACTTCATCACGATGCCCTTTGTGTTCCTCTTAAATGCAGTGCCCAATGACTGAAAGTCCCCACCTGTATACATCTTCACTTGCCTTGTCCACATCTCCCTTTCTCTGCTATCCTGGTGAAAACACAATGCTGGTCAAAGCCAACTCTCCGCCTAGTTCATGCCCACACACACACAGCTGACTGTGGCTGGAGAAAAACACACCCGCAGGCACGGTGACTAACCAAGTGGGTTGTTGCTGCTGCCTGGCAAT